GCAAAGAGTGGCAAGACCTGGCGTGGAAGGGAAGGAGGGAGCGCTAAGGAGGGAAGCCCAGTTGTGGGCCTGGCTTGGTAGGAAAGGCAGCCAGGGAGACCTCCCTGAGAAGGGAGAAGGGCCGGGGTCTGGAGGGAGATGGGGGGGTTGGAAAAAAGGGAAGGGCACTCGAGGTAGAGGAAGAGGATGTGCAAGGCGGGGTGTTGGGAAAGAGGCCCGGAGGTGGGGCTGTGAGTGTTGTCAGGGTGTGTGCGGGCCAGCGGGGGCCTGGAACCAGAGGGCAGGGACCAATCTTACATGCGACCTTTGAGCCTTTCTTGGACACCTGCTTGTGGAAGGCATAGGACATGGCGCGACTTGCCCTTGGAGGCGGTGGGAAGCTGAGAGGAGGTTGAGAGAGAAAAAAGGCGAGACCAGAGTGGAGTCTAGAGATAACTCGGGCCAGACGTGTGTGTATGTGTGCATGCACATGTGCTCTTGCATGTGCATGTGTGCTTGCATGCATGCATGTGTGCAGGGTGCGCATATGCATGCGTGTGGACTGGAGGTGGTGCTCTCCAGACAAAAGGGAGCAGCCAGCACCAACGCCCGGGGGCTGCAGTGAGGGAACTGGCCTGAGTTCACTCCCTCCTCTAACCTCTACCTGCAAGGACTTCTGGGATAGCAGGAAGGAGGCTCCAGGAGCACAGCCATGGGGGCAGTGGAGGGGGTTGTCTGCTGTCAAGTTGAAGCCCAGGTGGAGTGACACTCCCATAGGGACCCCTCAGTGAGACTGGCACCCCGACCAGGCCTCCAGGCCCGCCCCTGCCCTCTGCCCTCTGCAGCCTGGACCTGGAGTGGCCAGACCACTGGCCTGCAGATCCGCACGCCTGGGCTCCCTGTGGGCGCTGGCTGAGGGACCCTGGGCCCCTCCTGAGCCCATGTCTGAGCACCCACGGATGCACTGGTGATTCTTAGAGGTAACCCTTTGGACCGAAGGCCAGGGGACCCTGTGCTGAAATGCAAAGATGAAGGCTTGAGGTTTATTAGGTTTTATTTTCTTTGTTCTGTCGGCAGCAGCTCTGCACTCTTGTTTTTTCATAAAAAGGTATACATTTGAGTAAGACGAACCTCCACATTCACGTGTAAATCAAAAACTGCTAGCCACGGGTGGAGAAAGTGATGGAAGCACAGCGACCGGAAATGTTTTTCTTGTTCTTTGATGGATACCCCGACCCAAATAACTACGAACACGGGAGATGAGCATGACAACCAGTGAAGGGAAGGCAATAGACATATGCGATTTTAAAATGAATTTGATCAGATAACACATGCACACAGTACGAAATTCTAAAGCTTCACCCAGCCGGTGTGGCTCAGTGGTTGAGTGTCAACCTATGAACCAGGAGGTCACGGTTTAATTTCCAGTCAGGGCACATGCCCAGGTTTCTGGATTGATCCCCAGTGTGGGGCGTGCAGGAGGCAGCTGATCCATGACTCTCTCATCATTGATGTTTCTATCTCTCCCTCTCCCTTCCTCTCTGAAGTCAATAAAAAAACATTTTTTTTTAAATACTAAAGCTTCCCCTCCCCAGGGATAATTACTTTTATGTTTCTTTCAGAAATCATCATGTATTTAGAAACACACACAGTTATTTTTTTCTTACACAAATGCAGCTTACTCTAGACCAGTGATGGCGAACCTATGACACTTATTTTTTTGGTTGATTTTTCTTTGTTCAATGGCATTTAAATATATAAAATAAATATCAAAAATATAAGTCTTTGTTTTACTATGGTTGCAAATATCAAAAAATTTCTATATGTGACACGGCACCAGAGTTAAGTTAGGGTTTTTCAAAATGCTGACACGCCGAGCTCAAAAGCTTCGCCATCACTGCTGTAGACGCTGTTCTGTCCTGGTTCTTTTTTTAAAAAATTTAATATATCTTGGACATTGATTCACATCATTCTACTTAGTTCTGCTGTTTGCTTTTCATGGGCTGCGTAGGCTTTCAGTGTACAAATGCACCACAATTGATGGCCATTTAAGTAGGTTTTTTCCAGTCTTTTCCTACTATAACTAAGGCCACATTAAATATACTTGAGCATTCGTGACTATGCGAATTATGAAAATACCTATGGGCTAAATACCTGGGCATGGAATTGCTAGGTGTGGTTATTTTCATCTGTTGGAAGGTAAAGGTTGTACCTGTTTACACTCCTACAGCAATGCCTCAAAATGCCAGTTAATTCACAATCTTGCCATGGAGTATCCTCGCCAGCCCACGGGCTGAAAAATCCTATACCTTTTTTAGTTTTAATGTGTATTTCCTGTGAGGTTGAACACTTTTTCACATTTTGAAGAGCGATTTGTATTTCCTTTTTGGTAAACGGTCCGTGTTCTTTGCCCACTTTTCTATCAGGTTGTTACATTTTTCCTTATTGATTTGTAGTCTGTCTTTTTTTTTTTTAAAATTAATCCTTTGTAATCGAACCTGGGACCCTTCAGTCCGAAGGCCGACGCTCTATCCACTGAGCCAAACCGGTTAGGGCTGTAGTCTGTCTTGACATGTTAAAACATTACGCCTTTGTGACATAACTAGCAGATGTTATTTTCCAGCCTGTCATCTGTCTTTTCACTTTATTTGTGGTGTTCTTTGTCACTGCAACAATGCTGATTTATATCTGGTCAATTTCATGCAGTTTTTCTTTGTGATCTCTGAGTTTTGTGTCATGCTTGGCTAGGCCCTCTCTACTCTGCGTTATTTTTAAGACTTTTCCGCATGTCCTTTTTCAGCATTTAAAAAATTTTAACTTTTTAGTTGTGAAATAGAATGCAGGAAACATGCAAAAAAATGAAAGATACAGCTTTATGAATTGTTGCAAAGTGATTATCTATGTTCTTGTAATACTTTCATGGTTTAACTTTTTACATTATATCTGGCCCCATCTAAACTTTATTTTGGTATACTTTGCGAGACAAAAAATCCCTCTTTATTAAAAAAGAATATATTTTTAAATGTTCATGGAATAGAATATTTTTATTGATTTCAGAGAGGAAGGGAACAGAGGAGAGAGATAGAAACATCAATGAGGAGAGAGAATCATGAATCGGCTGCCTTCTGCACACCCCCCACTAGGGGTTGTGCCCAGATGGGAATTGAACCATGACCTCCTGGTTCATTGGTTGAAGCTCAACCACTGAGCCACACCAGCCGGGTGGACCCAGAAAAAATTTAAATGCACACGAGGCATCCAAGAGTACTAGTGAGAATTAAAACAGAAGGTTTAACCAAAGGCACACGCCGGGCACTTAGCAAATATTCATTACGTATGTTCAACTTGTGCGACCCCTCAGTTCTAGTGAAAATGTAGGTTTGTCCCTGGAACACACATAAAAACGTTAAACTAAAAAGTAGAATAAAATATACCCTCAAGATGTAGAAATTACTTTTTTTTTTATCGGAATTTTCAGCCACTGTCTGTCCTACTTGATGCAGATATTTATCCTCATCTGTTGCCTTCCAAAGTCCGTTTTAGGGATTATTCGAGTTGTGTGGGGACTTCCATTTCTCTTGGGCATTGCTGGTGATGTCTGTGCTTACTCATCATTGTGTATTTCTCTTCCTCACATATTGAGGAAATGTCTGTTCTAGTTTTTAGTGTAAATATATATATATAT